TATTAGGTAATTACATAATTAATAAGGTAATTACATGTAACTTTTTTAATAAATATTAATTGGTGATCTGGTAATTAAAATTATAATTAACCTGATATTAAAGGTTAAATTCACTAATAAAGAAATCTTTATTTCATCAACCAATATAACTTAAATTCATATTTTATTTTTATAGTTGTTGGTTAGGACAACTTGGAGGTAAAGGAGACCGGTGTAAAGGTAATGGATTAGCATTTAGTTTTATTTTATTGTTTTTAATAAATATTTTTAAATATTTTTTGCTAGAACTCGGCTAAAAGTATTTGTGCAGAATATTTTCTTCAAATTTGATTATATATTGCTTAGTTGGCCATTTGGCACCGTTTATCAAATTTTCATCCATTCATTAAATTGCTAGCTAGTCAATGATCATTAAGTAGAACTGGTTTTATCTAACCTTGGAAAAAAGATTCAAAATACTTAAGCCATAATTTCTTCTATACATTTTCATAACCATTCAAATTGGAAAGAGAAAAGACCAATCTCATGAACCCGACTATCTCGAAATTATGTTATTAAAAGAAAATCTAAGGTTGATTAGACTTCGCACATTCAATTAAAACATCTTTCAAAAAGCAAAATGATAAAATTTAATCTTGAAAACTAGACAACTCAAACTATTGTATTTGCAGGGATCAACGTTTCTGATATTATTAGCTTATTATGATTTGACACATCACGCAAGTCCAACAAAAGCCATAGACTGATAGCAACTCAAACTATTGTATTTGTAGGGATTAACGGTTCGGACATTATTAGCTTATTATGATTAGACTGACTGCATGTTTCGTCAAGTTTCTCAAAAGGTCAAAAGTAAAAAATATTTTTTTCCCAAGAGCAGAAGGAGAAGCAGTTTTGATTTTTTTTCTTACCAAAAATACCCTTAACAAAATATAATATATATCAAAATAACCGTTAAACCTAATACTTAGAATATTAATGTATAAATATTTTTTATTATTTTTAAGATAGCTTTCTAATATAGAGTGACTTTAGGGGTTAATATTTTTATATTTGTTGAATAATTTTTAATATATTTAGTTTATATTAAAAGAATTAAGTACTTTTAAATTTTATTTTTATATTTTACTTAAATAAAATGAAAAACTTTAATAATTGCATGTAATAACAAATTTTTAAGATTATTTATTTACTTATAATATTAACTATTAAGTAAATCTATTCATATCCTTATTCGTAATTTAATTATTGCTCAAAAGTATTTTTTAGAATAATTAGTCAAACATAAATTGTTTCTCTCCAAAAATATTTTTTCTCAAAAGCACTTTTAAGAAAAAATATTTTTCAAAATAAGTTGATTTATCCAGTTAGGCTAACCAGGCTATAAATGTGGATCTCTAAGAACTAAGCACGCTTTCTTCTAGGTTATTTAATAGACACTACATAGGAGTAATACAAGTTTCTTTTCCCAAGAAATTATTGTACAATATATTTTGTACTTGAGGTTGTGGCGTAAAGCTTCATTTTGAGCAGGTGGTGAATAATAGTAACGTGGACAAACGATTCCAAAAAACGTGGTCAAATTAGTACTATAAAATTCATGGTGCTTGGTGATACTAAAGACAGATTTTGAAAAGGATATAAATTAATCAGAATTTGTTTCTTCAAGAAAAAATAGATGAGGAGTTTTATTGTTTTTGGTGAAACACTGAATCTACCGTTTATATGTTTGAATTCTGTAGATCGTAACTTCGTTTAGTTTATGCATTTTGCACGTGAGTGACAGAGTGAGGCAGTATGTTTTATAAGTTCCTTGCAATGGGGATTAGAGAAGGAAAAAATAGGTAACGCTGTGGGTGTGGAACAAAATTTAACATTGGTAACTGAACTGACTGAAAACTTATATATAAAGTGTATAGATCTGTGAAATTTTTTGAAAAAATCATAGAGTTTGACTCAAAACGAATAATATTACGTCATATTTTAGAAGTATTCGTGGGACCATTTTAGCCCAACATAATGGTTATTAAATTCGAACCTATTGAGTCGAAAACTTTCACTCATGCCACTTGGCTATAACGCTTGGCGAGTGAGGCAGAGTTGATAATTAGGAGAAGCACTAGTCGTACTTTAGTAAACAGAAGTTTGATTTGCTTTTTCCAAAAATCTTTGTTTCATTTTCTGGAAAACAGAATAACAAACCAATAATGTTATAAAATAATAGAAAGTTATCATTAAAATGAAATTGAAACAAGACAATTGACAAGAATCTTAAAACAATTTTTGTTGTCTTACAAATAGGGGTGTTCATCTCATGGGATGTAATATTTAATAGTTGAAGTGCATCCATTTTTTATTCATTTAAAATGATGGATTGTATCATCACTTTCTTATCAAGTGCATGAAATGCGTCAATCTCTTTGTTCTTTCAAGATCTATTTAATTCTTATATCTTGTTTGAATTTAAAATGGTATTTCGTTAATTTTAAAATTAAATATAATATATCACTATGTAGGTCTCATATTGATTTTTATGTTTAATTATTAAATTCGGCTAACCTTAATAGCGTACATCAAGATTATTGTGAGACGACTAAGAAAATAACTATCATGTGCTTCTAAAAAAATACTCTCATAAGAATATATTAATAGAAAATATGTTTGTCATTTTTTTTAATTTTTACTAAATACATATTCACTTCTCAAAACTTTATCTACAACTTTAACAAAGCAAAATTGAAATAATATTCATGTAATAAAAACATTCGAGAAACCCGAAAAAATCGACAAAACCGAACCAATCCAAAACGATATATTTGGTTTGGTTTAGTTTGATAAAACCCAAACCAACTCGGTTTATGTACACCCCTACTTACAAATGAGGTGGGAAGCCTATTTTATTTAGGAAATTTTACCTCCTATATACATCTTATTTATTATAAATTAAAATTATTTTAAAATATTATTTTCGATAGCTACCTTTTATATTTTATAGCAAAATAAGTATTTGTGATATATACTATCATTGAGGAATGAAATAAGGCATGAAATACGCTATTTATGTTTTTTCTCTCTCTTAGACAACTGGACATACCTATTTTTAAGGTGATTGTCGTTACTGTATTCATGAATACATGTGAATACATGCGCATACAGCTGGACTGCCCTAATTTTAGGTGCTTTTTACTGATGTATTCATGAATACAGCAGCGTGAATACATGTGAATACATGCACGTACAGCTGGACTGCCCTGATTTTAGGCGCTTTTTGTTACTGAATTCATGAATAAATGGCACGCATACATGTGAATACATGCGCGTATAGCTCGACTGCCCTGATTTTAGACGTTTTTTATTGTTGTATTCATGATTACAGTAGCGCGAATACATGTGAATACATGCGCGTACAGCTGGACTGCCCTGATTTTAGGCGCTTTTTGCTACTGTATTCATGAATACATGGCGCGAATACATGTGAATACATGCGCGTACAGCTGGACTGCCCTGATTTTAGGCGCTTTTTGCTACTGTATTCATGAATACATGGCGCGAATACATATGAATACATGCGCGTACAACTGGACTACCCTGATTTTTAGGCGTTTTTTGCTGCTGTATTCATGAATACAGCAGTGCAAATACAACGAATATACTACCGTAATAATTGAATAGTAGCTATAAAAAGTAATTATGTATATGCATAATAGCTATAGGAAGTTAATAACTACTAAACAATAGTGGTTTCTGAAAATTCGTGAGCAAAAATCAATTTTGTCCCCGAAGTAAACAATTTGATACCAAAGTAATTGATTGCTCCTAAATAAATTGGATTGGTCTCCAAGTAATTTTCATATTAACTAGACACCCACAATTACTATTCTTATTTTACAACAAAAATCAATCCTATCCAAAAACCCTAGCCGCTTAACCAAGAATCCGAGCCGCTGTGTCTACCATTAATTAAGTATTTGATGCAAATGGTTGGTCCTCCAATTAATGGGAGTACTTGCTTGGGGAGGCAACAGAACTTATTAACAAGACAAAGTCAAAAGGTGCATCTCTATTGCTTCCTACTGATGTAGTGTGATAACAGACAAGTTTGGCGCTAATATTAATACTAGCAAGGTTGTTACATTAGCATCATGATATCCCAGTCCCACGTACTCCCTCCGTCTCAAATTATCTGTCATGTTTCTATTTTACACGCCCCTTAAAAAATATTAATTAGGAGGATGGTTAGACATTTCACCCTTATTTACGTCGTCTTATGATATAATATCTCTTTATTGAATATTTATTCTATTTATGTGATATCTCCATCTTGAACTATTATTATTAAGGAAAATGGGAAAAATATTGTTTTGAACTTCTAGAATGACAACTATTTTGAAATAACTATGTTTAGAAAGCATGATAGCTAATATGAGACGGAGAGAGTAATTGAATAGGATATATTGAACCTGATGCTACTAAAAGTGCTTTATATGTAAAAGAAGCGTTTATAATTTATATAGTTGAGGCTTTTGGTCAAGCTTGTAGGAAAGCAAAAGCTGAAAAATATAGTTGCCTTTACTCGTAAGCACTTTTGGAAACCAAGCACAAATTGATGCTAGCTAAACAAAAATTACTTTCCAAAATCATTCTTTGGAAAGTACTGATGATAAAAAATATTTTACAAAACTTTTTTGAGTTTCACCAATTTTGTTTTAAACCCTGTACATACTGCTTTAGTAAATAAAATTCTTTTAATTATCAGAAAAGCTTTTTTTTTAAAGCTAAACCAAACAGGCTATAAATAACATTGGTCTAAGAAGCTCGAAGAACCGTTAATCGCTCAAGAAATTTTATTGCTCAACAATATGTCCGTACAACAACATTCTTGGCTCAAAAGGCAACTGCAGTACAAAGCATGAATTCGGGTCCAATTATTCTCCTAATTTCAAACAAAATCGAATATAGAGTAACTAAATTGAACATAAGAGAATGTTTGGAAAGTCCGATTAGTCCGCCAAGCCTGGCATATTTGATGTACTAGGAAGAGCAAACTTGAATGCGTTTTCAACATCCTGCACTCTAATATCAACATTTTGATCAATCTGCAAGAACGAATTGAATGTCATATATATTAGTAGTTCATTTGAGGCTTGACAACTTTAGCAAAGCCATTTTGGTTATCATGTAATATAATTTGACAAAGTATTGCCTTTCCACTGGGATGTACAAAGAAACCCGATAAACCGTACCAAACCGATAATCCAGTCAAATCAGAAGAAAAAAATCCCCAATTGTGGTTTGGTTTGGTATTGGAAATTGGTTTGGTTTGATTTTAACTAAAAAAGATCAAACCGAAACTAAATCAACCTGATAGTACATTTATATAATTTTTCATAAAAATATTTATTATAATGTAATTTATAAATATTTCTTAAACTTTTTCACAATTTTATCTTTTAACGTATTGTTTCAAGTTTGGACTTAACATTCTTGAATGGTAAATAAATTTTATAGCCAATAAATGTAGTAACTCAAACAAAGTTCAAATCAATACTAATGCTAACAAAAGAAATTCAATTCAACACTAGGAATGATGATAGTGTTGGATCAATATCTATTTTTTTAGTTTTTGCATTGATTTATAATGAAAATGCATAACTTAGTTTATCTTTTTCTTTAGTGCTTAGTTATGTAATTAATAGTACTTATTAGTTGTACTTATTTCAGCATGACCTATATAGTATTATTTTTTGGGGGTAAATAAAGAAATGTTATTATCAAGTTGTAAAACTGTACAACACAAAACTAAATGGCATATATAGTATTTTTAGATTATGTTAATTTTTATTAATGCCAATTAATTATTTATTTTATGCAATTTTATTATCCTTGTTATTGAATATTTTAGTATAATGCTATGACTTATCTCATATTATTGTGTTATTTTTTTGTAAAATACATTATATAATTGTCTCTTACTAGGACTAAAGAAATATTTATAGCACAAGTTACATATTTTGTGCTGTGAAGACTTTACTGGGAAAAAAACTCGAAACCCTCCTCCCCCCCCCCCCCCCCC